AAAATTTTAGTTCACATTTAGCAAGGCAATTAGGCCACATTTCATCAAAACATACATATATCCCTGAGAAAAATTATTTTTGCTCTCTCCATATTAAAAATTGCTCTGCAATACCAAAAGATTGACAGAAAAAATATCAAGTACTGTACTGAAGTAGTGGCAAGCTTTTACTGGAACATGACAACCCACTTTAGAAACTGCTGTTCTGCATAGGTAAATGTGTGCATCACTGGGGATGAATAGAAGATGTCTTTGGGCCTTTCTGCCACAATGCGTACACTGCAAAATATCCTACAGCAGGATTTCTGCTGAATACTTTTGGCCCTCCACAAATGTCACCAGGAAATTCAAAATGGAGCTCAAGTATAAAAAAAGGCAGCTGAAAATAGGGCACTTTACTCTCCCTTAGAAGAGGATAAACACGACTGAAATAAGAAAACTGGATTTGTACATTTTTTTATTTTTATAAAAGAGATGTTAACAACTCATATTGACCTATAACACTGTAGCCTTCCTGTCATTTATTGTTCTATTTATTCAAGCAAAGACAATTCTCTAATATAGAGACCAAAACCCGCTTTTGGACATCACATCTGAAGGAATAAAAAGAATAACTAGTGCTACACTTTCATATGTGGAACATGTACTTCATGAACTCAAGTTGAGAATTTACATGCAAAGAAGTTAACAGGGCTAGAATGTCTTAGGAGACTAGCCCTGGAAAAGACACAACAAAGTTGCATGTTTTCTAGCTGAATAAACCACTCATGTAGTTTTATTTACCAGTTTTTCCTAGACTCCTTGCTTATACTGTTGATTACCAAGAAACCAAGATGCATGGCAAAGTAAAAAAAAAAAAAAAACCAAGAAAAAACTTCTAACCTTGGCTTCAAAAGCACTGAAAAATATTAAAATTGGTCTGCTTTTAATGTTAGCTGTTGAAAAAATATATATTCTTTAACCACCTACTTAAACAGTAGCAGAGATGGAAGAAACTAATCTATACTGATCTCACATTAAGACTTATTTCCAAATGTGATTTGAGAGTTGACCTTGGATGAAAGGCAGTATTTAATACCTGACCAATGTGCTGTGGGGAGACAGAATGATCCAGTAGATATTTCTATATGTAACTATTAGTATGATCTTTGAAATACGAATATTTAAGACTTGTGACACTGAATTTTCTAATAAAAAACATAAGGCATAACTGTATTATAACTAAGGCTGACATTATTTTTTTTCATAAATCTTGGGCTTGCTTTCTATTTGCTAAAGTTCCAAGAACAAGCCCTCTACTGTTACATTTCTCCAACACGTTCCATCTTACAGGGTTGGTTACTTTTTCAATTATCAAGAGAAAGAATTCACCTGCTTCCTTAAAGTAGAGCCAATGAACCTATCTTATAATGGCTAATTATGAAAAGACTCACTTTTCACTTCAAGATAAACTACACATTTATGTCCTTGTCAGGACTGCTTCCTGTGGAAAAAAGAAGTGCTGCACAGATCATGATGAAGAAGAAAAATACTAAAAATTAGCTTCTTTTCCTCCAACTTCTTCAGGATTCTTCCTTGGTCTCTCATCTTTTTTTTATTTAATTCTTTCGTACATGTCACTGTTTTAAGTTTACACATTTTAATGCAGCTGACAAATAATAAATTTCCTGTATACAAAATAATATTTCATAATCTCACATGCTAGTAAAAATGTAAAAGTTCAATATGAAACCAAATCTTATGTCAACTAATAATCATTATTACTAGCTTAGCCCACCTAAAAAACCCCTAATGATGGAGGCTAGTAAATTTCTCCAATTTCACAGCCTATGCAGGCTTTCTGGTGGGCTTTTTGTTGCTTATTTGTTTTAAGAAATACATCATTATAGTCCTTGTCTATTGTCTCCACTTAAAATAAGACACTTACATGAAGCCAAAGAGTCTGAAAAATCAACAGGAATTACTGTAGTACTCTACATTAATCCATATCCTAGCACACTGCCATTACTATTACTGTTTAGCTTTCTCAAACTTGATCTGTTCACAGTTGTATTTCACCATATTCCCTAAAATCATCCAATTGTAAACTGGTAGTCTAACAAAAACCCAAAATGTGACAGATAAGAACTGCAGTCACTTCAGTTTAAATCACATTCAAGCATCATTCTGTGTACACATTTTGATACATTAAAATAACTGCCTTAATCTTTATGTGCATTAGGATCAAATCACCCAGTGGACATTGGGAATTCCAACTAGTGTAAATAACTGTGCTCTGCAGACAGTGGCACCCTTTTCAAAGGTTCTCTGAGGGAAACTTTAATTTGTGCCTAGGGCTCCGTGGCAGCCTACTAGCAAAGGTGCCTTGGGGACATGCTGAATTAATATCACCATAACATGCAGGCATGTGTGTGCAGGAGGCCACACTAGTCACAGGTAAGACAAATCAAATGGTAGCATCCCCCCATCAGCTTTTCTATTATCTCCCCCACTTTGTGCCAATTTCCTCCAGCTTCCCCAACACCTCTTGCTTTGCTGTTCTTCCTTAAGACATGGGATGGGGATTTGTCAAAGTCAATGAGCACTTTATTACAGTGAGAGTGCCCAGTAATGAACAATTCAGCAATTTAATGAGATTCTGTAGATCTGTCTCCAGCCTGTCCATCAAGTTTCACTTCTATAAAGCACCCTGACACTAATCCTCTGGCATGCCCAATCTTCACCCTGGGCTGAATATTAGATTCTTCCATGGTATATTGCATTACCACTATAACCTTAGCAAAAATGATGAACTTAACTACACTTGAGGCAATATAGCTGGTCTGATTTGATTTTCTTCTATTGGGTTGACTATGAGGGAATTACTTATTTACTAAGATAAAGCAAAAAACCAGTTTATTATTTCCTTCTGAATGCCCAAATTGGTAAATATTTATATGTGTCTTTTAATTCATTCTGGAGACCTGGAATATTTATAAATATATATTTATTTCCTGGTTGCACAGACTGAATTAAAGACACCCATGCACGTTTTGCCTGCAGCGGAAAACTAGTTTAAAAAAATTCTTCAGAACAGCATTAGTAACCTTTAGAGAGGCAATTATGATAACACTTAAATGGACAGTGTGGAGTTTGTTGTCACTCAGAAAGCAGCATATTATATTACCTATAAGTATCTCTCCCCAGTATGACCCTGCAACAGAAACAGAGCGTTTGTCATATTTGCCTCGCGAAGTGCTCATTGACTGGAGTGCACACAATTAAGAAAATTATTTCTGAGTCTTTCTGCAGGACAGGACAGGACAGTGACACAAGATTTAAAAACTCCTGATGCCTAAAATGGAAGAAAAAAGCATCACTGCCACTTCCCAAATGTCATTACAGCAGGTTACAGACAGCATATTACTCTGGATGCGGTTGCTCACTACTGAGCCAGCATGAAGTTGTACTTGCATGGCTTTCTGCAGCAACTTTTCCAGCAAAAGTATACCCAAGCATGTAGCTAGGGGATTTCACTGACCCTGCAGAGAAATGATGATGAAACCCTATCAGCCAATCAGACATCTCCATGAATAAGGGAATGTGGGCTAGGACTGCAGAGTACTGTACTGTGCCTAAAAAACCTCAACCAATCCCAACCCATCATCATGTGTAGTGTGCTGCAGGTTCTGTTGCACAGGTATCCTCCAAGGATTAAGACAGGAAAAAGTCTAACTTCATATTAGTATTTGCAGAAAATATCATCTTTGTAAAATACTACATAATCTAAAGGCTCAAAGTTTTGGAAACAAATATGCCAGTTATTAGCCTGAAGGGTTAAGTTACATCTACATACTGGTTTTGTGGTTTGAAGAGCTTAACTTGAAAATTTTATTCTTTTAAGAATAAATATTTTGTTCCTGTGTGACATTATTAATCCACAGAACATGAACTGACCCACAGATAAAAACACATTTTACACTTAGAGAAAATGATGGCATACAAATGTAATTATTTCCTCAGAATAATCCAAAATATAAGTAGATAAATAATAGGCATTGAAATATAAATCAGTTTTCTGACTCACAGTCTTCTCTGTTGGATCAATATAACCTGTTTCCTAAAAAGAATGCACAGGTTTCTTTCAAGCAAGTTATATTCTACCTTGAAATACAAAGGAATACTTTCCTCTATAAAACATGACAATAAAAAGGAAACAGAGAGAAGTCTTTGGGTAGCCAATATTATAGAGATTGACTTCCACTATATCATGAATTACAATTTTTAAAGAGATATGATAGGAATGTTTCCAAGGATAGATTTTGGTTTAGTTTTTGTTTTTCTCTGAAGAGGTGGGTTTTTTCTATTAGGTTTCCTCCCAAGACACACACTTCAGGTCACAACATAAGGCTTTTATCTTGTTAATATTCTATGGGTAGCAATCTGGCTATTTTCTAGATCCAGCTTTTTTAAAGGAAGTGATTGCCACCTCCAGCTTTTTGCCACAAACCTTTCACTGAAGCTTCCACTCATCTCTTAGCAGAGCTGCCTGTGTGATGATTCTCTAATTTGCTTCAGGCAAAGTCAGCTGTGGTGGCCCAAACAATTTAAATGACTACTGAAGTTACACCGCTAAATGTGACTGATGTGAATGGGACAGACTGCAGAAGCAGGTTTGCCACCAGACTTGTAGCACTAGCCTCATCAGAGGCAATGATAATTGAGTTGCATGCATCAGCCATGTCTTCCCACCAACGAAATCCGATCTGGAAGGAAATCTCGGGCTATATTTAAGTAGCACAAGTTAAGCAGTATGACAAATTTCTCTTTCAAACAAAGTAATTGCATTAACACAACACAACATTTTTGGAACTTCATTTAGAAATTTCCCTCAGTTGTTATTCACAGTTTTTGCTCAAGTGCTTATTCTCCCTCGAGATTGCTCCAGGGTTTCAAAACAACAGATTACTGCTATGGTTTATAGAGTATCACACATTCTGGTTGTTCACCAATCTCCTTACCTGCCAGATCTGTTCTTCACTGAGTGAAGTGAGTCTATCGCTTTTAAAAACCTCTCGAAGAAGACAGTATGGGAGTGCCAGAACTTCTTCAGGATGACTCTTCAGTAGCTCAGAGAGATGTTTTACTAGGAAGCCAATGACTGCATTCTCCAACAAAGTCAGGTTGAAGAGGTCCGCAAGCTTATACAGGTCCAAGTAATTAAAACTATTTAATTCCTAAATGGACGAAGCAAACAAAACACATCTCAGAAAAACAAACAAACAAACAAACAAACAAACACAAAACAGAGAATAAAAACCCCCACAGGTCTCAGATAATGATAAAAGGTCATTCTTTTGGAGCTGTGGAGAAAGAAGGCAATATAACCTGAAATTAATTAACACAGCCTCATTCAAAATGTATGTGTAAATGCTACCAGTGCATATGCTTATACATATGCACTTGTAGCATACATGTACATATGATAGTACTAATTTATATTGCAACTTCTAAGGTTATATGTGCATAAAGCATCTATAAGAAATATGAATTAGCACATACTATAATAAACCAGCATGATTTACACTGTATGACAAGAGCTCACAGGACCTAACAAGTGCATTTAAAAAATGTATTTATTAACTACTATGATTTGTTACAAAGCAGTTGCTTGTTCATTATTTATTGTTTTGATTGAGCTAGAGCACCTGTGTAGTACAACTTTTAGTTACATGAAACCTCACAAAATACAAGATGCTTAGCTACATCTTATCACGTACGAATTTTTCTTCAGTGAAAAAATTAACCCTTTTTTTCCTCCAACCACTGACATCAACCTGTAGTACATGTTGGCCTCCTGCTTTTTTTCCCCCTCCTTTTAGCAGCTGAAAATTTGAAGACACAAAAGCTACAGTAACTCAAGGCAGTAAGCTTTTTCCATCCTGCTAGCAGATGACCTATATTTACAGGCTAACACTTTTAACTTGGCATCCCTCATAAATTGGACATAAATCTGGACAACTAACTACCGCTGTTCTAGACCATACTGCTCTCTTCAGGAGAGAGGCCAAGAAGTCACTTGTATTATACAAAAGTATCCAGTGCATCTGGGAAATAAGCATGTTTACTCATTTTCTCTGATCTTGCTGTACGCTCACACCTCTCTTCCTCTCTCCTCCGCAATCCTGGTTTTCATCTTTCAATTTCCTGCATTGCCCCCTATCAGCTGCCTTCTCTTTGACCAGCCCCATGTGTGAAAATGACAAGAAGTCTCGTCAGTTTCACTTTGCTGGTTAGTTAACATAGGGACTAGAGCAAGGAAGAGAAACAGACTAAATTAAGTCAATTTCACTTTCACTGCTCTGCTGGATGGAATGGCAGCACCAAATGAAACTGACAAGAAATCTTGTAAATGTCAAATGAGCTGCACGGCTGGCAGATAGAGCAGAGCAACAGGGAAGATGGGAAAGTGCGAAGAGGGGTTTTTTGGAATGTTTTACGGACTACATCTTGAACGTGTGAATTGGGTGCCTGTCCCAATGACTGTGGAGCTGTTTATGCATATGCAATGGAGAGTGGAGAAAGAATTTTTTTTACCTGGTTAGAGGAGTCTGTACTGGAGGAAATGAAATCAAATTCCTGTGCAGGTTCCTGCTTGTTACATAACCTCCCAGTCTGAACAGTGCACTTCTCTAGCAGAGTCCTACACTAAAGATAAATCCTGTTCATTATCTACTTAAACAGCTGCATAGGAGTTTCACATTGCTTTCTTGGAAGAACAAAGAAAAGTTCTTTACATTGTCAGAACAAGCACTAACAGCCATCATCCCAAAAGCCACAGATATTCTAGTGTCGGCTCCTCTTCACACTAACAGAGGAGGTAGGGATAAATCTGCAGTAGCAGAAAGAAAGAGAAAGGAATGAATTTTACATGAGAAGTATCTGGTCTGTATGCTTGCTCGGTGACTTAATATCCTCAGATCACAGATGGTACCTCACAACACCACTTCTGTTACGGCTATGCAGTGGTGGCAACAACACATAAGAGTCTAATCAAAGTAAACATCACAGTATTTGACAAGCAACAACCATAGTTCATTGTCCCGGGTTTGGAAAACTTTCTTTTCAAAGAACTCACTGATTGAATTAATGCCAAATGCCAGAAAGAAATTTAGAAGAGCTCAGTGTGTATTTATTGAGCTTTTTTGTAGTCAATGGCTGTATCTGGGAAGCATAAAAATAAATAAATAAATATATGAATAAATAAATGAATGAATGAATGAATGAATAAATAATCAAGCATGGTGACCTGAGGATCAACAGCCCAACTAAAACAAATGCCTGATCAAACCCCAAAAAGTGTCAGTGGAGAAGGAGAGGGCTTCAGAAGAGGATAATACTGTGGATAACATAATAAGATCTTTCCTCATTAGAAAGAAACAGCAATGAGACACACAAATGCAGTCTTCCCCTGAAAAGCCTTCACATTTTCAGTGAAATCTGAATGACACCGGTAAGCCTTCATTTTTGGTTTGGCTATTTTTCATGGTCATCCAAACTCCCCTATGCCCTCAGATCAACACCAGCTGAAGTTGTTTTTATGAAGGCTGCCTTAGAGTTGAAGATACTTGTGGATGGATAAATATAATCTCACCAGTTATTTATTTACTATACTATATAACTTATTTCAGATGCTTATTTATGTATGTGTGTTTATTTATTTATCATGGAGGTTATCTGTTTACTTATTTTTATTGTGAAGTTTGAGATGATTTTTGATGCTTCACTTAACATAATACACTAGTGACCTGCTGGACTTACAGTTTACTGCTTGATGAATACTGTAAGTATGTTTTGTTAAAACTGGTCTTGGCCTGGAATCAGAAACATTTCATTTTTGGTTTTGTAAGGTTAGAGTTGATCTACAGGTTTGTATTTCACAGACAAAGAGTCAAATAGTGCTTTAGCTTTTACAAATGATAATTATCAGATTGTCATAACAATATTCAAATCAAGATTATACAGTACTGTACATTACTGTCTCTGTGATGATACTAGAGGGCAAAAATGTCACACTGAGATTGCTCAGTGTACAACCCAGATCAGATAACTTTGCCCTTTATAAGTAGTAAGACTTTCAGAAATAGGCTAAAACGCAGTAGGTAAGTTAGTTGCGAGAAAAATGCACCTTACTTTCTAGCTTTAATAAAATCCCACAGGAAGGATCAAAGCAATTATTGCCAGCTGAGTCTGATTTGAATAGACTTTTCACATTAAACACTTAATTGAATTAAAAACTTTGATAAATGATTAAATAAGTTACTAAACAGGAAATTTAGGTGTGGTCATGAGTAAGAGTACTGGCAGTCTCTGTTTTCCACAGATTTTATTATATTGTGTTGAAAGAGCAACCTTATAATTTTAAAGTAGTGTGTAGCTTTCTTCCAGTACTGTATTACAGTATGTTCTTTAAAAACATGCAATACAAAACAGGCTTAGATCAATTCTTGAACCTCTTAATCTCTCTTTTTATAAACTTTTAAGTATATGCCACTTATCTTTCCTGAGCCAAAGGACGAAATATGAACACAAGCAGAACTGTCACTAAGAGCTGAAGAGAATTAGGGAAAGGTAGCGATCCTATCTCTTGTAATATGATGTACGTTACACTGCTGAAACACACTCAGACTAAGAAAATATGTATAAAATTATATACAGCACTTACAACTGAAGTTGAAATTGTTCTGAAATATCACAGTAAACTCAAACAAATTTAGTAAATTGGCCAAATTATTTATCAGTGTGTACTGCTAAAATAAGAACTACCTTTGATCCTATGCATCCTACTTAGTGCACATCCCTCCACTGAAGTAAGGGAATCCACTGTTCCACACTACTGGTCTTCTGATTCAGTATTATTAACCTTTAGACGCCAAACCAATTTAACAATGAGCTGACATTTAAAACCCTCATAAAAGAAAATCTATTTTCCAAACAAACATAATCTGAAAGATGACAATATTAAATATTCAAAATAAATTATGTGACATTGTCCATATTTTAATGCAGAGGTGTATTTTAATATAGAGATATGATAAACTGCCAAACAGGAAAAATAGATATAAACATTATGTTTAAATTACTTCCAAATCCATCTTTATTCATTTGTATTTTAAAGAATAATTGCCTTGCACAAGCCAAAGAAAAGGATGTAACAGATTGATAAATTAGAGTTAATCATAACCAAGTACACAGCAGACTACAATATACCTCTATTCCTCTGCTCCGTGTTATAAATAGCAGAAAAAGCACAAGGAGAACTAAGGGGAAAGAATGCATTTCTTTATGACCTTATTTGAAAGATAAACTCCTTGGGGAAATACAATTTATTCAGATTATCAAGACCCTGCTGTGCAAATCTACAGTCTGGGAGCACACTATGGAGATCAAACAATATTTACTTTATTCTGTTGGGTATAAAAGCTTTTAATGAATGCATAATTAAGACAGAAAAAGTATATACAGCTTTAGAATTCCACTGCCAAGCCAAGCCATTAATATCCAAAGTATCGTACCCAGTTGTAACTCCACCTGCTTCCTATTTAGATTACAACACTGTTATAAATCAAGGTATTAAATGACTAGCCTGGCTGCTGTAGCAGAGAAGAGTTGCATGGCGACACTACTTCCCCTTTTCCTAAAAGAAGTTCAGCCTCTTTAAAGCAAAAAGACCCCAAATGTGAGGTCTACGGGGCAGGGACGTGGTTATTCAAAATCCTTAAGCAGCACCTAGCACAACAGGTCTTGACCCTACGCCCTCCAGGTTCTCTGCTACATTAAATACTGTGAACCAGCTCCACCATTCAGAATAGAACCTTGACAAAAATCATAGCAAAGATGGACTCTAAATAAATAAGGCCTAGTAACAAAACAAAAAATTGTAGTGACAAAAATACACTTGCCTGACAAGAAAAGCAATCAACACAATTTTAAGAGAAAAGAAACACCGTTCTGTTGGTTCTAGCTCTCCCTTTCTATGTAAAAGCTTTTAATTCTGCAAAACCTCCCACACTGATCAAAGAACTAACAGAACATGAACACACTCAACAGCACAGCAATGGACAGGCATGTTTCATAATAAGCAGAAGCACAAAAAGTGTATTTTAGATCTTATTTGAAATTTCCCTCCATCAAACACTAAAGCCATCCAGTTGAGCCATGAAGGGCATTTTGCTGAAGCCTGGTCACAGTGGAACAGCTGGGTCAGAATTTTTCAATGTATAAAACTGATTACATTTATTATAAGTGCAGGCTGCAGATGTTTTTATAGGCACTGGAAAGGACAACTTTCTAACTGATTCATTTTATAAAATAAATTTTCTGGTAATTACACTTTCTGTAATTATTTGTTTTCTTCTTTAAGCATGAAAAATTTATTTGCATCCTTGTTGCTATTTCAAAGTAGGTCTAGAGGTAAGCAAATGACCAGCAATATCAAAATATGTCAGCCCTATTATTTTCCCTCTACTCTATGAGAACTCAATTCCCTTCTCAGTGTTTCTCTATATCTGCTTGGTTTTCTGGTTCAACCCTGCTGGGTGATGCTAGTGAGAATCCTCTTTGAAGGCACAAAGGAGGCCTGTGAGCTTCACACGAACAGCAGAAAGACATGACATTCTCAGATTGCTCATGTGATGACACAAATGTGTGGTCTTCAAAAAAGAAAGTGAAACATGCCATATGCAGATCCTCTAAAGTAAAACCAAAAAAGCAAACATTTTCTAGAACCTCAGCCAGATTAATCTACATTATTAAATAGTACAAATATTTTCAATTGGCAATCCAGTCAAGTATTTTAAGTGACTCTGGTTATACATACCTCTTACATACTGCACACACAATTATGTGTATCTTGGAAAGAAATATAATAATGGAACATTAAGACTACACAATTAACGTTTCATGGGACCAGTGGAACAACCACAGGTAAAGTTCTGCAGAGGTTTCAATAGCTGCTTTCCCCTGGCTAACAGATGTTACTGTAGGAATTTTTAGAATTTTCTTAGCTGTACCTGGCACAGAAACTTCCCAAATGAAAATCTTCGCATCTCACCAGGTACTCCTGGCCAGATAACTGTAGCACTCAATACTATTTAACAAATAAAAAATATAGGGATAAAGTGAAAACTGAGGATCTTCTAACCCTTCACCTGTCCCTTTTATACTATTTCAGAGAGCAGAAACACAAAAGGAAGACTTGATAAGATTTATCAGTGTTTACTGGTTTTGCCAATTATGGGAGCTTTCCTTGTCTTCAAATATGTTGTGAGGAATACCATATTCCATACATATTCCTGTACTCTTTACTCCAGTAGAAATCACAAAATATTGGTACATAGTCTTTACAGATGTTGTATTATTTTATATTTTTGCTAGCTTTTCAGAGTTAGTGTATCTATCAACAACCATCAATTTTTTATGGTAAACATTCTCTTTCTTTTGTTTGTTTTTGTTGCTAATACTGACAAATCCAGAAAGAGCAAGTGTTGTCCTTTAGAAACCCAAAGCTCATAGGAGTAGCAACTAAAATAAATAATTAAAAATAAAAAAAAAATAAAAATAGGACTGTAGTGTTACTTCCTTTTATGTATATATATTTTACAGGCTCTAATAGCAGTTTGAGGCCTTTACTTATTTTAAGCCTATTC